CGGGGTGTTACACCTCGGGCTTTCTCGACGGCATCCGCCTTGGCGGCCTCGGCCTCCTTAGCAGCTCTCTCAAGGGCTTCAACTGCGGACCTCTCAGCCTCGGCCTTGCCCCGGTCTGCGGCCTCCGCCCGCAGGGTCATCTGCCGAAGGCTCTCCTCCAGCATAGCCATCTGCCGGATGGCATCAGAGTTCTGGCGGATGAGCTCCCGTATCTTGGCATCCTGCTCAGCCTTGCGCAGACGCCACTCCTCTAGCCTCCGGGCCTGCTCACCGAGGGCAATGCAGGTCTACAAGAAATAAAGAAGTTAGGAAAGTTGTAACAGTATGTTCTGACACAAAGTAAAACGACAATTAGGTACAAACTTACAGTGACGGAAGACCGGAGGATCTTGTCCTCAAGGGCCTGGTCATCATCAGCCCCGAGGGCGGCTCTGTCAATTCAGGGGTCATGCCCCTCAGAAGCACCCTCGGGTCCGCCGTGCAGTTCATCACGGTCGTTCCCACCGGGAGAGAAACCATCAGGACCTCTGAGGATGGCTCCCGGACACCCCCCGGTACTTCCGCCACCGTCATCTCCTCAGGCATCCCGGAGGCGGGGCAATCATCAACAATGACCACGGGGGGACCCTTCTTCCCGACGTCTCCCGTTTTTGGCTTTTTGCCCTCGGGAGCCTTGCCCGCAGCTTTTCTCTTTGCAGCAGCGGCAGCATCAGCATTTGGGACCGCCGGCGGCCCCTCCGGCTTCTTAAAGAAGTCACCGGCGGGTTTAGGGACGCCAACATCCATCCCCTTCGGGACCTTGGAAGATTTCTTCTTCTTGAGGTCAGCAAGCCCTCTGACGTTCATCATATTGACCGGGATACCTGCAACACAATATGGGGTTAAACCGAGGGGTCATTAACAGATGGCATAGAAGTACAAAAAAAAAAACAACAAACAAACTATGTGCTAAAATACAAAAATGAGGGTGCCCTCAGCCGCTACCTCCGGAGGCTCCCTCAAATGCCGGGAACTTTTCATCTGTTTCCCCCAGGAAGCGATACCACCGGAACCCGAGGGTGTAGAGGTCCTCCTCTTAGGTGCATTCCTTGATGGTTATGTTCTTGTCTCGGCCCTCCGGGATCTTTGCCAAGATCCTGCCATCTTTCTCGAGGGCGGCGCTCCTCCTCTTTTCATGGCGCCTGAACTGGTCACGCAGTTCCCTCGGGAAGGGGCTCTCGGCCAACTTTATGAAGCACCACCGGTCCTTCCACCCCTTGTTTGAAGAGGGCGCTTCAGTACACAGCTTGAACAAAGCCACCTGCTGCAAATTCGCGAAGCCCTTGGCATTCGCATGCCCCCCGGCACAGGTTGAAACTTTGAAAGAAGAGATCCAGGCTAGGCGTTACCCCCCGGGATTTGCAGAGATGGAGGAAGCCCGTGATGTAGGAGTTGCTATTCGGCGTCAGCTGGCAGGGGACCAGACCCACGAACCGGAGGTATTCCCGGAGGAAGGGGTGTAGGGGGAACCGGAGCCCCATTGACACGGACAGGACATGAACTGCAATACAGCCCTCGGGAGCTCGGGAGAGAACGTCATCGGGACCCGGTGCCACCACAACGGCCGAGGGGCCCACATGTAGCTGAGTGACGTAGAGATCCGCCTCATCAACTTTCGACCTTATCTCTAAGGCGGCGGTGTTCAAATAGGAATACCCCTCGGGCATATCGAGGGGCTTCCCTTGATCTGCGACGCTGCCCTTCTTCTTGGAAGCAGCAACCTTCGCCTTCTTTTTTCCGAGGGCCACCTGGATGGGGACTGCGTTCAGCGGCCGAGAGGTGCTGGCCTCACCAGTGCCCCGAGGGAGGAGAACAGCGATGGTAACCCTCACCCCCTCCTTCTGCGCCTCTTCCTCAGCTACTTGCCAGGCGAGGGCCAGCTCTTCGTCTTCACATTCTTGTTCGAAGCCCTCGGCTTCTGCCTCGGCAACGAGGGCTTTCTGCAGCTCCATCGCGACGACAGCATCTTGTCCCATCGAGGGGTGTTCGCTTGTGGACTCCACGTCCGAGATGACTTCATCCTCCATCGAGGGCGTCCCCGAGATGTCTTGAGAATCGCTTTGCGAAGACATCGTCTGTGCTAGTTCGCGGGCTAAAATATGCTAAGTGCTCTAAGCTAAGATTCCTAAGTGTAAGTCCTAAGGCCGCTAAGTACAACTAGGTGACAAGGGTGGAGGACAAGTGAGGAACTGACCTTGTAACGGGAGTTAGATCGAAGGCGGTTGTTTCTCTCTCTAGGAATTTGGGCAGAGCTTCGCTACAATGATATCGCACAAGGGAAGTGAAGCCGGCCATGGGGTATTTATAGGCGCCTGGATCCGGGCTTTAGCCTGGAAACCAGGCCCCCGGTCACAAAGCCATCATTACAAACCGTGGTTTCGCCCAATCGGTGACACCCGCCCACGAGCAGCCAACGAGCACACACCACGTGGCAGCCCCCCCCAACGGCTATATTCTGACGTTAGATATTCCAACGGCTATATTTCCAACTGCTATATTCTGGGAGCTCCCGGCTATATTTAGCAGCCCACTCCTTCATCGACCAAAGAACTAGCCCCCGGGCTTTTTACTTCACTCCACTTCATCAACAAGAGCCCCCGAGTACACTTACCCAGAGACGCTCCCGGTTTGTGCCCCACACACTACATAACAAATGCCTTCGGGTTCACTCCTTCAGAAGCCCACGGCTTCATAACAGGCCACCCCTCGGAGATCCCCCCTCAACACTTTGAGGGCCGGGTAGCCCCCGGGAGTACGCCTCATTGACGGACAGCCTACGGCACACGGGTAACGGGAGCCCTCGGATACCCTCCTCACCAACTAATCAACAAACAAGGGACTCCCCTTCGGCACCTCCCAGGATATCGACAGCAAGCCTCCGGCTAATCAACACATGAGCCCTCAGAACAAGGAAAGCCTTCGGCATCAGCATTATTCTCCATTTCGAACCAGGGCTTCACGTTTTCGATTCATCGTTGGGGGAATTCGGTGCACTCTTTTTCCCTCATTAGGATTTTTTCCCACAGGGTTTTTCCTAATGAGGTTTTTAACGAGGCATCCCCCCAAAATGAAACGAAAACCGCCAGCTTTCGGCCCAAATCAGCAGCATGCCTACTCTACTCCTTTTCACCACTTTGCAAGTGCCTCAAGGAGTGGGGGACTGGAGGACCCCCTCGGGAAAATCACAAAAATCACAAACATGCCCCCTCAAGTCCCGACATGTGGGTAACTGAGGGACTACCCTCGGCAGAATGAACAAACAGCAAACTACTCACAACTCTACAAACTACAACGGAACAACGGCAGAGGACAAACACAATTACTTCTTTTCCCTCAAGTACCTTTCGGCAAAAGGAGTGAGGGACTCCTGATGGAGTATATGGCCCGGGAACCCCCGGCCCACAGACTCCTACTACTCCAATAAAGTCCCAATAGGCCCAGGAAGCACAACATGCCCAAATCACGGCGCCCAGGGTACCAAGCAGCCCACAATGCGCACCAGGGGTGTTTTCGGCCCCCTGGCCGAAGGCTCTGAACCTCACAGAAGGGCCAAAACAGGAAGACAAGGTTACTGGGAGAAAACGACAAAAATCAGTAGCCCTCGGCACCTAGTGCCCTCGGCACTAAGGGGGTCCCGGGCACTCAGAGCCCTCGGCTAATCACCTACAGCCGAGGGCACCTTTTCCGACATAATATCCGCTCCACATGCGTATAGATCACCGTACCTTGTACAACGTCCCATCTAACAGCCGCATTAAATGCGGCCACATGCGGTTGCCAGCGCCAACCAGTTGAGGTGACCTCTCGGCCAATGGACGCTTGACACGTGTCCCTGTCCGGCATTTATTGCTACTATAAATAGCACCCCATTTCCCTGTTGTAAACCACGCTGAAAACGCTGAACACTTCCTAATATACTTTCTCTCTCTATACTCACTTGCTCTGCCTTCTCTCTTGTAATTCCCCGTAATAACCCCTCGGATAAGCTACCCCCCGGGTACACTATCCATCACGCTGCATTCCACCATTCCATCACCGTCCCCCGCCGCACTCCGTTGCAATCGAAGCAATCACAGTGGTGGAGCTCCAGATCCGACGCGAGTGATTGTAGATAAGAAAGGAGGAGGAGAAGAAGTGGTAGGTCAACAGTCACACCGTCGTCATCTCACCCCACCCTAATCGCTCCATCTCCGCCACAATCGAAGCCACCACATAGATTGAGATCCAGATCCATTGTCTCCACAGTCATTACCGTCGCCGCAGCCACGTCGTCTTCATCTTGCCGTCTGGATTGAAGTCCCTGTGCCAGGTCATGTGGCTAATGGTGTAGACCGGAGCTTGTGACTAGAAGACTAGAGCTGGAGGGGAGGGGGGAGTTCGGAGATGGGGAATGGAAGGGTGTAGGCGAACGGGAAGATAACTGTTGAAGATGAACGGGATGAATGATGCTGCGAAGGGGGACGACGGAGACGGCGACGGTAGCGACGACGACGACCTGGGGAGTGGTCTCCTCCGCTCCTGCGATGGCCTTGGGAGATGTCCTCTGTGCTGCTATGGCCTTGGTTGATTCGGATGTTGGCTTGGCTCCAGAAACTAAACAAGTGGGCTGTGATAGTAACGGGCTAGATAAGTCATATTTCTGGAAAAAAAAGTAGTCACATTTTTGTATTTCATAAACCTGGTAGTTATATTTGTGTCCTTCTTCCATCAACTTATCATCCATCATTAATTTTTTTTTGAAACAATCATTAATACTCCGTAGATTATTAATTAATTACAAAGACATTCGAAAGTACTTGTAGATAATATTGAAAGCCACGTAGATTTGAAGAACACGCTGTAGTGAACGTCGGCCACAAAATCATAAGTGGATGAAATATTGAAATGTCATATATAATCTCCACGTGGCCCAATGAAAGAAGATAAGCTACTTTGCTCAGCCAATCACAATCGTCACTTGGGTTCAACTATATCCGTTGATATTTGACCCCATCGGTAATATGTATTCGTCTTCCTCATCCAGCCTTCATTTAGCCAAGAACGTAGAAGTTACAGAAAGCAATAATGGCTTCCAGTGCAATGATGATGAGCTGCGGCGGTGTACCCGCTGTTTGCTCCTCACTTCTCTCTTCTTCCAAGTCCAAATTCGCCTCCTCCCTGCCGTTGACCGGAATCCCTGCAAATGTGACCACCGCCAGGGCCACCATGTCCGCTGACTGGATGCCCGGCCAGCCCCGCCCACCCTACCTCGATGGATCTGCGCCTGGGTAATTCTACTTTAATTTCCTCCAACTTTTTTTTGGGCAGGTTAATTTCCTCCAACTTATTTACTTAAACTACAATTAGTTTCAACCTAATTAGAATCTAGAAACTAATACTACGTACTATGTATATTGCAGAGACTATGGGTTCGACCCACTTGGACTAGGGGAGGTGCCGGGAATCCTTGAGAGATACAAGGAATCTGAACTTATCCATTGCAGATGGGCTATGCTTGCTGTGGTAATTAACATTATTGGATTATATGAGCTCTACCTTGATAAATTTTGTTTTGAACTTGTGACTTTAAGTGAGTCAAAATAAGAAAATTTCCAAAATAATGTGATTTTTCAGAATAGGAGTCCTAGATTATCCCTTATTAAAGTCGATATTTTCCATGCATGATATTAATTACTCAGGAAAAACAATAGTATTCCTGTTATTTTGTGATGTCATATTCTTTTTACTCGATTCTATCTAGTTTAATTTCTTATAAACATCAAATACACAGTGTATTTATACGGAGTATTCATTAATCTTTGTTCAACGTGTTTTTAACAAAATTTAGTAATAGTTGAATTTTTTTAAAAAGTATTAAGCGGGACAAAAGATTAAGAAAAACTAAAAGAAATGATGGGGAAGTAGGCATTTTATTTGTTCTAATACATGCATACTTGTATGCTTCAGTCGTTCTATTAATAAAACTTACTCCGTATTTTTTAGAACAATTATTTCATAGTTCAACGGATTAGCCAATTTAACTGTTTCTGTCAGAATTTCAACAATTTCAATAGATTTAGTCAATTCGGTCAATATTAGTGTTACTAAACGGGATATGACTCTAGGGATGTTTTTACATGGACTGAAATTTGTTGGTGGTCTAGTCTGGTCTGTTTGAGTCTGGTCTGTTTGAGTATGGTCTGGTCTAGTAAATGTCTGGTCTCTTATTTTATAACTAAGGAAGTCTTGTTTGGTCTGAACTGGTCTGGTCTGTTTAAGTATGGTATGGGACTGAAAAAGTCCAAGTAAAAACATTACTTGGGTGGTAACAAAAACGACTGAATTGTTTATTAAAACAGTTTTAACACTGAATTTAATTGTTACTCCCAACTTGTTCCATTAACTCTTGTTTATGGAACACATGACACTACACCATCCAATTAGGAAGAAATCCACTATAGGTTGACTAACCAAAACATTATACTAAAGAAATCCACTATAGGTTGACTAACCAAAACACTATACTAAGTACTACGTAATAAATTAGATTAGTCTATTGATATAGATTTTGGATTTGGTATGCTAATGAACTCAAACATCTCATTTACTTTAACCATTTCAAGTTTCCAACCACTCCAACTGTAGAATAAATTTAAATATATACAATCACATAAAATGTGTTGGTTAATGTGTTGAGACCATGTTAATTGCAGCCTGGTATGATAATCCCAGAGGCAATGGGGTTGGGGAATTGGGTGAAGGCACAAGAGTGGGCAGCAATTCCAGGAGGGCAGGGGACATACCTAGGGCAGCCCGTCCCGTGGGGCACCCTCCCCACCATCCTCGTCATCGAGTTTCTCGCCATTGCATTTGTAGAGCACCAAAGAAGCATGGAGAAAGACGCGGAGAAGAAGAAGTACCCCGGTGGAGCTTTCGATCCCTTAGGCTACTCCAAGCAGGATCCTGCAAAGTTCCATGAGCTCAAGGTCAAGGAAATCAAGAACGGTTAGTTCTTTATTAAGATTCTCACACTAAGCTAAGGGTGTGTTTGGTAAGCTATTTTTTTGCTTAAATGATTGAGTCTGCTAGCATCCATTTAAGTAGGGGTGGGCGCGGTCCGGAACGGTCCGGTAAATTGGTAAAACTCGCAATGTATTCGTAAAGTTTTTAACGGTCCGGTTCCAACGATAGATACGTTCGGTACCATGTCGTTTCGGAACGGTACAAAATGGTACGGTACAATGCCAAACCCATGCTAAAAAATTTGAACAAATCTTGCAATTAGTAGATATCATCACACCAACCAACTCACGTGAAATGTTGATATAAATACAAGAAATTGCATACGTATTCACAAATACACAAATAGTGCAACACACCTAAGAAAATGTATAGCAAAACGATGACACACGGGATAAATATCATCTTTAATTTACTAAGTTCATGTGAAAATATAAAAACGAAAATTATCAGATTGTTGAATATAATAGAAATCTTCAATGTTCTTCTTCGTTCTAGGTTAAATATCACTCCGTAGTTCTCACTTAATTTATAGTTGAACCTTAAAAGCTAATATTTAAACCATATTAATTAAGTTGTAAAAATTGCACAAACATGATACAACAAAAAGTCATGTACACTACATTACTGGAAATGAATAGTCATTAATGAATTCTAAAATTTTAATATTCTTTCAATACATACCAAAATATAACATAAATTATCTAAAAAGAAAAAATAACAATATATATATATATATACTAGGGACACATGAATATATACATACTTGGGCTATAAAATTGTTGGTCTATAAAAGAGATCTATTGGTATAGAAAAAATATAAAAAATTCAAATGCATTATTTTCGAACGGTTCGGTCCGGTATTTTTCGGTTCTCAAAATATAGGATCGGTCCTGTACCCGTTTCAAACGGTACGGTTTCGGTACGGGATAAAAATCTATAGAACCATTTAAATACCCGGTATTCAGTTCGATACCATTACGAGATGGTTCGGTACCGGTTCGGTTCGGGTTTTATGCCCACCCCTACATTTAAGTCTGCGGCATAGGTGGGACAAAATGTTGGCGTGAGCGGGTATAATATTTTACACACAAAATTTTACACAAAATATACCGAGTACAATATTTGCCAAACTTAGGAGAGCTATGTCCGTGATTTAAGTGATATAGAAAAGCAAAAACTGCTCACTCTTTTTAAAAGCAGAATAATCGAAGAAGGCGAATTGAACTGCAAAACAGAGGCCTAAAACCTGTTTGTTAGTGACTGGTTGAAATGTATTTTCACCCAAATAAGTTCGTCAACATTTTCTTGTTCTTCTTTTAAGCATAGTAATCAACAGAATAAACCAATTTGCACTGCCAAACGAAGCCTAAAACGTGTTTCATGAAAATGCATTTGGCTGGCTAAAGTGATCAAGAGGGATGAATTTATTAAATTGTGGTTGATAAATGATGAATTTGAAATAATTGAAAATGCTGATTTGATTGGGAAAAAGGGATTTAAATTATCATCATAATTTCAATAATGATAATAATAAATGAATGGGCAGGACGGCTAGCATTGTTGGCATTTGTAGGAATATGCGTTCAACAGTCGGCGTACCCGGGAACAGGACCGCTGGAGAACTTGGCAGCTCACTTAGCTGATCCATGGCACACCAACATCGGAGACATAATTATCCCTCCTACTGTGTTCCCTTAGATAAAAACAAAGTTACAGGCGTAATAAATTTACTTGTGATCTTATTTGATTATGAATTTAAAGGTGATCGATGGATCAGATGGTGTAAATCTCCCGTGAAAGGGTTAACTATGTATTGGCATCCAGTTGAGTTTTACTTATGCATCATCATTATTCATTAGTGTAATGCCAGGCAATGCTGAGTGGGCATTTTGGTGAAACATATCTGGTACATGTAAATATGTAATCGTCACTTGATGTGTCATATAATGATGACTAATGGCATCCAATGTAGTTTTACTTGTGCATCATTCCACCTCTAATGTAATTATATGGTAATGTTAAGCTTGTGCTATGTAAGGAGTACTTAAGGTAATGTAGGGTTTTGAGAGTTCTTGGCCGAGTTTCTCAGAGTTACATCGGAGAGAAGGATTCGATTTCTTGTACTTATAAATGATATGGCAATAACTTGCCGGAATTAAGGGGGCTATGGAAATTTGGTGCTGCTGCACAGGCTATCGTTGGATGGTTGGCTTCTTAGTCCTAGGAGTTTGGGAATAATATTGGCCGTTTTGAACGTTTGGATGAGAATTAAGAACACGTTTGGTGGATCTTTGAAGGGTTTGTGAGGATTTGCATATCCTGATATCCCTTAATATTGAGAAACCCTTATAATGCAGGTTTAAAGTCCACAATAAAGGAGGTGATTGGTTCTGGGTGAACTTTGATCCGAGATATTAAATATATTTATATGTGTGGATTAGTGTTTGGATGAAGCAGATCTGAGGAGAGGCAAAGCAATGAGGGCAATAAAAGGATAGTGCATGATAGATGAGGAGCTGGGGGAGATGGGGTGAGTTGGTGATGACGAGATCACGAGACATGTGTGGATAAAGAATGGGGAATGTTGAAAGATTTCTGTTGTCGTAAAAGTCCAACACAATTACACAACAGAGTTGAGATCATTGAGTAGAGATGATTCTAACCCGAAGTTCTCCAACGTAGGGTGGACCCGGACCGATTCAGACTCGGTCCGTGATCGACCAGTCGCCCGGAAAAAATATAAGGACCGGGACCGGCCCGCCATATTCCATGCAGATTATAGTCCGGTCTGATTCCTCCCTTTTTATTTTTCTAAAATCATTTTTTCAAAGTGTAAAAATGTAAAGACAAAAGATTATTCGAATTATTTAAATTGGATTTCAATAGCAAGTGTTCCACGTTTATATTATTTGAATTTATAATTCAAAACGTAAGACCTAACAACAACGTTAAATTTCAAACTAGATTTAAATGTAATTTTAGTCTCTGCAAATATGACACTTTATTTTAGGTTACTTCAATTTTATTTTTGTTTTTCACCAATGTAATATGCACTAATGTGGTTTTAGCCAATCTCTAACTCCTAAATCACTCTACTATGTAGCAAATTATTATCGGCGATATAAAACTACTAAAAACCTTTAAATTTTACCTTTTATATTTTTTAAACTAATATGATAGTTAAAACGATGTAAAACTAATACTTCATATTTTTTAAAATATGTATTGGAAAAATTATAAAAAATAAAATTAAATACGTTTGAAAACATAACAAAGTATAAGAGAAAACCTATTGATGGGTATTGGAACTCTGGGGTAGTAAATGTAGAGAAAAGTTAGAGTAAAGGTAGAGAGAGAAAGATGTATGTATAATTTGACATAATAACAATGAGTTTTTTCCCATGGAGAGGTGTTTTTCAAACTTATTTCCCAAACTAAGGTACTTTTAAACTTATTTCCCAAACAGGGGTATTTTTTGCCATGTCACCTCAGTATCACTGCTGGGTGCCACATCAGCTTATCCACATCATCCCATCAATTCCATGTCATCAATTTTGAGAGTTTAGGTGTGCTTCTAAAATATAGAAAAAAATGAAGCTAACAGGATTCGAACCTGGGTGGAACACAAGAAAGGCATGTATGTGAACCACTACACTACACCATCCACTTATTAACAAATGCATTTTAAGAAGTATAAATCATGTATCCTTCATCCCGGGAGTGCACTATTTCTTAATCGCATGTATTATTCGTTCCTTTAGAAATATCTCTCTTTACCAAACAATAAAAAATGTAATAATAAAAAACTGAATTTGAGTTATTCAATTAAAAATCTTATTAAAACTTATAATAAAAACATAATTTGCTAATTTAATTTGAAAGATAAAGAAATATTTAACTTAGAATACAAAAAATTAATCTAAACTTATAATGACAAAACACAATTTGGAATATGTATTTTTTTAAATAACTTAGCTTCAAATGAAATAAAATCAATTAAAATAAAAGTCATATTTCTAAGTTACTTATTTCTAAGTTACTTATTGAATGAAATTTACTTATTTTTTATTTTATTTACTTTTGAGTTATTTCAAATAAGTATATACTTCAAAAAATAAAAGTCATATTTCTAAGTTACTTATTTCTAAGTTACTTATTGCATGAAATTTACTTATTTGAAATAACTCAAAAGTAAATAAAATAAAAAATAAGTAAATTTCATTCAATAAGTAACTTAGAAATAAGTAACTTAGAAATATGACTTTTATTTTTTGAAGTATATACTTTAAAAGTTTATACAAATGTAAAAATGTAATTTAAATTTATAAAAAAATTGAAGTATATAATTTAAAAGTTATTTGAAATAACTCAAAAGTAAATAAAATAAAAAATAACTTTTAAATTATATACTTCAATTTTTTTATAAATTTAAATTACATTTTTATAGAATTAAATATCGCAAACTAAGCTTTTCGTTGTGATTATTTCATTATAGCAGCTCAACTCTTCTGGACTCGGTTCAATTTTCTCATTGATTATTATTGTTTCAAATTCAAATACAACACTCAAATTTGAACTAAATTGTAACATGTTAAATTTTAGTGAAATTTGCAATACAAATACTTTAAGTCCAAGAATGTATACATTTAGCTGTGTATTACTCATTGCTTTAAAAATATATAGCTTCTTTTTAAAATAATTAAAAAATTACGCAAAATACTAGGTTTGTGATAATTAAAAATAAAGACTTAATTAAAATTTATTGTTACTAAATGTTATGAAAGGCTCTAACCCACCCCAATTTAAAATCAGATACTATTCATGTCAAGAAAATCATATAATATTTAACTAAGAAAGAAAAAACTTGATAAATTTATAAACGAAAAATGCTTGGTTCCGAGGCGGAGTCGAGCTGAGGCTGAACAAAATTGAGCTGTTAGAGAATTTTCATAAAGAAAAATTTATACGATATTTTACATTAATATTAAACCTTTTATAGAATTTAAAGTGGACTAGCATGAAATTTACTTATATTTTATTTTATTTATAAGTTTTTTATTGTTATATTTTTAATTGTTTGGGAAAGGAAGAAATATACTTCGTACTTCTAAAGGAACAAATAATACATGCGATTAAGAAATAGTGCACTCCCGGGGTGAAGGATACATGATTTATACTTCTTAAAAGGCATTTGTTAACAAGTGAATGGTGTAGTGTAGTGGTTTAAATACATGCCTTTCTTGTGTTCCACCCAGGTTCAAATCTTGTTAGCTTCATTTTTTTCTATATTTTAGAAGCACACCTAAACTCTCAAAATTGATGACATGGAATTGATGGGATGATGTGGATAAGCTGATGTGGCGCCCAACACTGATACTGAGGTGACATGGCAAAAAATACCCCTATTTGGGAAATAAGTTTAAAAGAACCTTAGTTTGGGAAATAAGTTTGAAAAACACCCCTCCATGGGAAAAAACTCTAATAACAATGCTTAAAATTCAGGTCCCTATCCCTAAGGGGAAAAGCAGTTATTTATAGACTAAAACCAGGTCTAAAACAAGTTAGAAAGCTTCATGTGCACTTGAAACACTTGGGGAACAAGCCAAGCACATTGACGTCATGTGGATGTGTGATGATGTTAGCCCTGCTAATAGACTCCTGATGTCACTGATTGTGACACCCCGACCCCGCATGTCACGTCGTAGTTACTCCAGACATCTAGTACTGTCCTCACAAACCACCACGTGCCTTTACCATGCACTTTGTCCTCACTCGTGCGTGTCCTGAGAAACTTCTCAAGAGCTCATTCATCCTAAGACTACTCATGTGCAAACACGTGTAACTTGGAGTTCTTAGGTGATGAGCTCCTTTAAAAGAAGACGCACCTCTGTTGGTATGAGTAGTATTATTAATCCCTTTAAATTAATCTCAACTATTACAATCACCCCACTTAGGAACGCAACATCCTCGTTGCGTCAATAAATCAATCTCAATCAAACCTCAGAATCCTCCCCTGATAAGTGTCCGTCCGATTTCCAACAGATCATCACACTATCGCAGGGTTGCTCTGATACCACTTGTAACACCCCAGCTCCGCATGCCACAACGTAGTTACTCCAAATCTATAGTACCGTGCTCACAAACCACCACGAGCCTTTACCACGCACTTTGTCCTCACTCGTGCGTGCCCCGAGACACTTCCCAGGGGGTCACCCATCCGAAGACTACTTTAGTGCAAGCACACTTAACTTGGAGTTTTTAAGTGATGAGCTCCCTTAAAAAGAGATGCACCTCTGTTGGTATGAGTAGTACTATTAATCCCTTTAAATTAATCTTAAATATTACACTGATATGTAAGCCCTTTCGGAATTGGGTTTGTGACATCAGTGAAAGCATGAGTGACTTAAGCACTGGATATGCGCCTCGGTGGAATGCCCGGGAAACGGTGAAGTGATAGACTGTCTCCAGACCAAGGTGGATCAAGTCCCCTAGACCTCTTCCAGCATTGTCAGCGGGATACATATAATGAATGTCGTTGGACTCAGCCTCACTGGAGCACCTCAGCCTCACGTGTAACGGGCCTGCCGGTGTGGAGCTTGGCTAGTGGTGAGATCTCGTCCTCAGCACAGTGCCTCGGCTCGACTGTTATATGACTTGGGTCTTTCTTCCCAACCTTCTGGTCTAGACCCCTGAGGTATATGACACTATACTACATCACCGATTAGTCGGGGCTGTTTCGTTGTCAAATAAAAGTTTTTAGCATTGGTGTTGAATTCAAAAGAAAATCAGAATAAACTTTAATGATGAAAAACAACAAAAGAGTTGCAGAAATGTAATACTAAATGTACAATATTTAGAGAGACTAAACATATATTTAAACCTCCACACTATTACAAAGTTAAAAACATTGAAGTATTACAATACTCCAATGGTATGTGCAAAACTTTATTTAATATGAAAACAGTCCATTACATTTGAATAAACACACACGAACACAACACTTAATCATTATAAGTATGGTTGAGTGTTGAATGCTTTGTATGTAATTTTTTTTATAACGCACCATAACTAATGCTTTCATGTTTCCTCAAATACAAAATCTTTCGACAATGAAGACATTGTGCGAACACGTCGTTTGACATGTTCTACGCACGATAGCGTAGTGAGTTAACATTGATTCCATATAAAAAAGATCAGTGAATCTTATTTGAAATAAAGAGCCCATTTGGTGACTCATATTTTCGACTTATCACCCTTATCTGTCTTATCATCAACCAACTTTTTCATCAAACACGCAACTTTCGATTTCGCACGCTGAAGTGAGTAATAATCAAAATAAGTAAGGTGAATTGAAGTTACTTGTCTAACTCAATTGGCTAAAGTTAGGACTATTTTAGCTATTTTTATATTACCTCCACCCCCTTAAGGTTGGGGTAGTGTCTAACAAAAATTTGAACAAATTAATAATTAATTAATTTAGCTAGACCTTTTACCTTGCGAAAAAAGGAAATGGAAGACCTAGTCAAAAAGCGTACGTGTTTGCACAATAAGATGAGACTTGAGAATCTTTTGAAAGATACGACGTTCTCGTTCCGACGTGACAAGGAAAAACAAACTGAATTAAATTAGACTTGAAGGCTTCTGTAACTCTAACATTAATCCTTCACGTACTTCTGTAACTCTAACATTAATTGTACACCATATCTACTTCTTGCATAGAGATAGATGATAGTTCTTATTTAATGTCTTGCTGAAATCCGAAAACATTGAGTCGCTGTCAGGTTGTTCCAAACTCACACGGAAAGTGACTTTTTCACCATTCACCTTCACAAGTCATTATATCAGGAGCAAAAGTATTTGTGTGTGCTGCATTGAGTCTAAAGATTTTTGATTAAT